ATAATACAAATTTATTTAAACAGGTTTAGCTGCAATTTTTGAAGTAGATAATATATAAAATATAATATTAATTGACTATCATTATTATTTGATTTAAGTATACGTATGACGTATCATTGGGTTCAGAAGTGTGTGACATTAATTTTTTCACATTGCATAATAATAATAATATGTATTAAAAGGAAAAAAGTAATTAAAGAGTCTATTGTGGCTTGCTTGACTCAATCATTCTTTAAACCATTTACGTCACCCATAGTAGGCGAATTAAAATTTAATCAATTCATGAATGTATGATGGAACTAGGAAGTACCTTTGTAATATTATGTACTATTATATAGTCATAACATACAATTTTCCCTAGAGAAGAAATCGTTGTACATATTTTGCACTCTGATTGCTTATTAACAGGAACAGTGAGTAATAACAAAACCAGAAAGTCGTAAATGTTCATTATTTTTATTTACATAACACAGACATCGATCATTTTACATGCTATAAAATAATATACAAATAGATAATTTATTTATAAAAAGAAACGAAATTGTCCTAGGAAATCCGAGAATCAGGCAGTCCTACTTTCACTCAATACGTTAAATGCATAATACATAAATATACGCAATAATGAAATATCGATTTTTTAGGTCCTTAAAATTACTGAGACCCATCACGTTTAGTTTAAATAAATAAATAATGACAATGATAAAAAAAAAAAAAACAATAACAATATACAATGCTGCAGTGATACACATTGACCTAAAACACGTTCTGACGCTTGAAAGTCGGCTAGGTCATGGTTTATATTCATCGCAGCCATTCAGCGAATTTCTCTTCCAGCCTGCAGTAGTGCAGTAGGATACCATGGTTACTTGGTCGCGTTTTGACATCGAAAATCATGCTGCTTCATAGGTATACCCGTCGGTCCGTCGGTAAACTGACAAATCTGCAAGCCCATTTTGGAAAGTGGATGACATTTACTGCGCTGATTTCCCCATTTGCCGTAATACTGCATCCAAATGGGAAGTTTTTTCGACGAGTTTAACACTTCGACCTTGAGCCAAGTTTTCCATGGAAATCCGTAGCCACTATCGTCATACAACCTTGGTATACGCACGTATTTGTGTTTTCCTGTAAAACGAATCCAATAATATATAGGTACCTACAATTATTTTTAGTAATGCATATCATCGATCATATTCAGTGGCGTGTCCAGAAATGCATAATTACCTAATAATACATTTAAGTGAATTGTAGTGGTGATACTATAGAGACACAAATAAGCGGATTTTATCGTACAATATAATCCATAACCACCTCCCACTGGACACACCACTGATCATATTATTATTATTATTTTTTTTGTATTTATTCAAACGCGGACCAAGTGATGATATATATATATATATATATAAATATATATAAATAAATAATATATAAATATATATAAATAAATAATATATAAATATATATATATATATATATTTACGAATACTGTTTTTAAATCTAATATTGAGTTATACTTTTATAATATAGATCTCACCTGGAGCGGTCCATAAGCCGTGAGATCCTTTGGCCGCGAACAGCACCGGATGATTGCCCTCGTCTGTCAAGTGCACCACTTCGGGAAACTTAGGTTTTTGCAAAAACCCTTTGCGCACCTCTTGTCGATTGAAAACAAACTTCCGCCGATTCCGGTCGAACCGGTARAACGCGCCAGCATCGTGCACAGACACGTACATYTCTTCCGGYTCGTCATAACCCTGTGGYAAAATCAAACGGAAAATCATTAAAGCTTTGTCAACTTATATACACGCATGCAATGGCAGAACAGGTAATGCAACAATACCGACATTTTTTTTCTCGAAATAATTATTTTGTGTATTTTTTTATTGTATCGTGTATTTTATATTATATATACACTAAATAATGCATTGTTTTGAAATGAAAATTTCATTTACATATGAYGTATAACCAATAAATGTAATATTAATCATTTTTAATAATATATTTTGATTACAGTCATATGAGATGAGTGATTTATTAATTCAACGACTTAGGGTATATAATAGATATCTATTCGAATTTTTTATTCAAGTCTTATATTAGGTATATATGTTCGAACTAATTATTAAGGACGTATATTATTATTTATTAGTAACTAGTAAGTACATAAAGTTTAATACTTCATTATATGTCATTTAAATTTTAATTAAACAATATAGATATTTATCTAACAAACGTTTTCAAAAAAAAAAAAAAAATTAAAATGTACGATCAACAAGTTATACTATAATAAAAATGGTAGTAAAAAAATTAAGTACCTAGTATGTATGTAATTGTCACCTTTGAACAATCGGACAAAATCGAACAAATTGGAAAATATAGTCTTTATTCAATGTAATAGGTATACCTACATAAACTTGTAAGTCCTGGCCGCAATACAAAACTCCAAGAAAAACCGAAATAATAATAAACCGACTTAGAATCGGCCACATCACCCACCTCACACATGGACACCTCATGAAG